CACCCACGCAGGCACTCAGCTATGTCTCTATGAGGGACCCCCAATAGCAACGAGGGACCCCAAGCATCAGGTGACTGTCCCGGGCTGGCAGTACTCCCCGCCTGTGGGCACAGACCACCACTGGAGGACTGTGCTGTCCCTCTGACTTCCCTGGGAGCTCATGCTGGGTCTCTCCTGGCCCCGGCCCCAGGCCCCTCTTCCCTTCCCGGACTTGAATCTCTATCCCTTCCCTGGAGTGAACGGGAACCTGAGGTGTATCAGCCTTGCCGGGTTCTGTGGGGCCTTCCAGCAAATCCCCCATCCTGAGGGTGGTCTTGGGGACCCCTGAAAATGTCCTCACAATCCAGGCAAATAAGAATCACTCTTTCCCACTCCCCTTTCTTTACATCAATCCCATTTCTGCTTCTGTTGACTGAAATCATCCACTGACGGACCTCTCTGGAGTCCCTCTGGGGAAAGCAAACCCGTGGACACCTCGATCCCAGCCCTCCAGCCCCCAGAGTAAACACCTTTGAATTGCTGCCGGTTTCCAAGTGGAAAATGGTGTGTTAGGCAAGGGATGGGCTCCAATCCACTGAGTACTCATCCCACCTGGGCGCACCCCCACCCACTCCTGACAGCAACAGCCCACACTGATTCAGCTCATGCAGCTTTGAAATTACACAGCTCTTGATGGGTTTGCTCAAATCAGGGAGGCTCACCTCATTTCAGACCCACACGCGTGACACTTGCACTTTTGCATCACGTTAACTGAATCTGCGTGTCCCAATTCCCACTGAAGGGGGCCTCACTGTGATCTAGCAAAGCCCCCTTAGGAAGGGAACGTGAGTTGAGAGCATTTCAGACCAGTTTTCTGGCGTAAAGCCTGCTGGGGGCAGAAGCCTGAGTCCACAGGACGCTGGGGTAGGTGCTCGGTCTGTACTCGGTAAAACCCAGCACCCAAGTGTGGGTCAGGAGCCAGACTTGGCTATGGACGGGCTGGACGGTTGGCGTGGGGCTCATCTCGAACACACGGCTTGGAGATGGGAAACTGGGTCAGAAGGCACTGGAAGGGTTATGGGATCCCGACAATGTAGGAAAATGGCTACTCGTAGTGGATGTATTGGGGGGGGGGGGCTAGTCCCGGGGGTGGGGGACACTCTAGGGTCCAGGAGCGGAGCCCCCTCACCTCTGCCTCAGGGCACATTCGCCTGAGCCAAGGCGGATTTGATGGCGGCCACCAGCTTCAGGAACTTGCTCTCTGTGTCCACATAGCCATCGCCTCCCTGGGGACCGATGGAGGGGGAGTGGTGAGCTGGGACCACCAAGCCCAGGCCTAACACCCCTCCCAGCCCCAAAATGAGCCTGGATGGACAGACAGACAGACAGACATACCTTCTTAGAGTGAACCAACCTCCCTGCTACCGTTACTTCAAAGAACCCGGTAACCTTGGGAGTCGCCTCACCACACTGCGCAGACAGAGAGGTTAGAGGGGCTGAGATGCCCGCTTGGGGACACCCGCCCCTTCCCACCGCACTGACATCCAGGGCTGAGGGACAGACAAAGTGACCCATGTTTGAGTCCTACCCCAGGCCCAGGACTCACGATGTCCAGGCGTCCGGGGAACTCATCTTCTAGCTTCTGCTTGAGCTGAAGATACTGTAAGGGGGGGTCACAGTAGGGGTCACCAGGGGTCACCTAGCCCTCCTCCCCCATCTTCCCAGGACGCCTCCTGCCCCGACCCTATGCTTACCTTGGGCTTGTAGCCTCAAGCGCCACTGGTGGGACAGAGTCCAAGAGAGTGGGGGCCAGCGAGAGAGGGGGACAGTGGGGTCCAGGGAGAGGCAGGCGGGGGAGATGGAGGAAACAGCCGGGGGCCAGGAGAAATGAAGGACACAGATGATAAAGCCAAGGAGGGGACAGACACCCTCAAGAGAGAGGGAAGACACACAGATGTTGGGGAGGGGAACAGAGAAGGGGAGGCGGGGACACAGGAAGGGGGCAGACACCCACACAAAGAAAACCGAAACAGAGCAAGGGACACAAGACACAGACGGAGGGGTGGAGAAAAGGGGGTGACAAGGGACACAAGACACAGAAGGAGGGGTGGAGAAAAGGGGGCGACAAGGAGACCACGAGCAGGAGGAAGGAGTCAGGAGGAACCAGGAAGGAATGGGGAGGAAATAAGAGAGAACTGGGTTAGCCGAGAACTGCAGAAACAACACCCCACCCCCTCCGGTACATCCTCACCCACCCCCACAGCTTGGGAGGCTCTGAGGGGCCCCCAGTCCTGAGGATCAATCTGACGCCTCCCCAGCCCCTAGTTCAGGCTCTTTCAGGACTGGAGTCTGGTGCACTGACCTCCACGGGGCCTCAGAATCCCACCCCACCCTGTGCTTTGCCCAGACGGCATTTCTTTTTGTTTTTGGTTTTTCTTAATCCTCACCGGAGGATATTTTTCCATTTATCTTCAGAGAGAGTAGGAGGGAGGGAGGGAGAGAGGAACATCGATCTCATATTGAATCATTGCCTCCAGCACGACCCCGACCAGGGCCAGGAACCGAACTACAACCAAGGTACGTGGCCTTGACCAGAATCGAACCTGTGACTCATTGGTCTACTGGCCAATGCTCTAACCGCTGAGCCAAACCGGACTGGTCTCCCCCACACAGCATTTCTAACGGACAGATCTGATCCTCCCAAAACCCCGGCTGCCCTGCTGGGCATTTCACCAACAGGCCAGCCAGCGGACCCAGACCCCACGGTCCCCTGTGGCTGCCGTGGGCACCGCAAGCCACTGACCTGCCCGCCCCACTCCCAGCCTGTTTCCTCCCCGGTAAGATGGAGCAAGAATTCCCCTCCCGCAAGAGGTTTCCCCGAGGGAAATTCACAGACCGTGTATCTACCAAGTGCCCCGGGCCTGCTTGCCCGTGGGTGTCAGCACAGTACAGGTGACAGGGCAGAGCCGTCACCGAGAGAAAGTGCCCTCTCCCTGGGCTTTCCCGCTCTATCCGGGAGTCACACCAACGTGCTCAACACCGCCCACGGGCCTCCGTCCATGGGGACAATCCCTCTCTTCCACCCGGCGGTGTTGCTCAGTGGTTGAGCGACGACACACATACCAAGAGGTCACCAGCTTCATTCCCAGTCGGGGCACACGCCCAGGTTGTAGGCCGGGTCCCCAGAAGGAGGCATGCAGGAGGCAGCCAGTCAATGTTCCCTCTCATCGATGTTTCTAGCTCTCTCCCTCTCTCTAACATCAATAAAGTTTTTTAAAAAACTTTTTTTTTAATTGCTCTGTTCCTCTCCAGATGGGAAAACGGAGGCCAGGAGGTGCAGGGTTGGTAGCGGGGTCCATCCAGTGTATTCCTTCCTTGCCAAACCCACACCGAACCTGCTGGAACCTGCTGAACTTTCCTCCCCCACCCCAATATTGTTCATGGTGCTGGGGGAGGGGACACCTAAGGCTAGAAGGTGCGCCTCTCCCGTTACCGATCGGACCCCATCCCCCAAACGGACTCCCCGGGGCCAGAGGTTTCAAACGTCCACACCGGCCCTCAGGTCTGTCTGCCTTTGGTCACCGGCGATGCCCAGAGGCTCACACACGGGAGGGGTCAAGGCCCCCATCCTGCGCTCCCACTCTCGCCCACCGCCCACACGCGCGAATCCGGGTTCAAGAGGAGGGTCCCCGTCTGAACTGCCCCTGACGCCCCCCGCCCGGCGCCCGGCTCCTTTGGGGCCCTCTGACCTCCTCTTACCAATAAAGGACTCGGACCGCGAGAGCCACGACCCGTGAGCGCAGCATCCTCTGGACCCCAACCGACCTCGGTGAGGGCTGGGGGTCTGTGCGGGGAGAGAGCCGCACCCACGGCCGTCCTCCGGGTTCCACCGCGCGAACCAACGTGGGGGTCTGGGGGGAGCGCCCACAGCGGGGGCCACGGGTCACGGGGCCAGCCACCCTGAACCCCTCGCCAAGCCTCCCCCCTTCCCCCTGGTGCGTCAGGGAGCGTGGGGACCAGGGAGTCGCGGGGAGAAATCCTGCGAGTCCCCTTGGGGTCCCCCTCCGGCCTGAATGGTTCGCCCCGTGGAGCGGGGTTCAGGGCCTAAGGCTACTGGCTGGAAACAAAATTGCTGGGGGTGAACTTGCAAAGATTAAATGGCAGAGGTCAGTCACTGGCTCACAACCCATCTGGGAGATGTTCGATCTTTTTCATTTTAAAATGTTATTGACTGATTGTAGAGAGACAGGAAGGGAGAGGGAAACATCACCCCGGTCCTGGTCGGGTGGTGGGGGAGGCAACCGGTCATTGTAGCTCTAACACGTCGATGCTTCTCTCTCTCTCTCTCCTTCCCTCCCACTCTGATGACAAATAGAAACATATCCTCGGCTGAGGAATAAAACAAAACCAACCAACAAAAAAAATATTTAAAAATCACAACAAATTGACAAACCCAAGTTTTTCTTTTAAAAAAAAGCGTGAAAGGGGCCTTTTCTAATCGGCCTGGTGTCCTCCCTGGACCGTAGGCCGACGCTCTAGCTGCTGAGCCAAACCAGCCAAGGCTGCCTGTTGTCTTATAAGAGGAACTGTGGACACTGCTCACCAGGGGACATATGCAGAGGTCACTGAGGACACAGGGAGAAGTTGACCATCGGCAAGACAGGCCGAGGCCTCAGGAGAAAGCAAACCTGTGCACACCTCGATCTCAGCCCTCCAGCCCCCAGCACCATGAGGAAGGAAAGGTTTGTGTGGGGCCACCTGGTCTGTGGTGTGTTGTCATGGCAACCCCCGCAAACTAACAGTGTCAGAGTCTGGGCCACTGGCACGCCTGAGTCGGACAAATGATCTGGGAGTCTGAGTCCCCTTCAAATTTCTGTCTCCGCTGCACTTCATTTGCATAACCTCAGAGCTGCTGAAGATGCTTGTTCATCAGCCAGGGGCCTGCACCTGAGCACCCCATACCTGGGGCTGCGTTCCTGGGGTGCAGACGGAGGGGGTTTCCAGGAGGAAATGGACGCTCGAGAACACGGGCAGGTCTGTTAGACTCGTTCAGTATTTATTGAGCTGTGAACCGCGGCAAACGTGGCTGAGACATGAGACTCACACCTCAGGATCCCTCTCTCGGCTCCTCCTGGGGAAGGAACCTGGAGCTGGACCACCCCAAACACCAGAGGGGAGACAGGGAGACATGGGGGACTGCAGGGAGAGGGATGGAGGAAGGGGGGAGGGGGAAGGGCCATTGTGTAAAACTGGATCTCGGGGAGACACACACACACACAGGCAAAGACAAGGGACAGTCATCTTGGTCCCGCCCGACAGCCGCAGAACATCAGGGACAGACCCGGCATCCAAGAGGCATTTCAGTCCATCCCATCATGAAGCGTCTGCCGAGAGGGGCTGGGCCAAGGTCACCACTGTGCAGAAAAGAGGGGGAAGGGGTCAGCTTGCAGGGAGAGAGACCGGGATGTGGCCCGTAGGGAAGGGCAATGAGGGCCACACGGGAAAATGCAGCTCCAGGAAAAAATGAGGCCGGAGGACAGCGGGCGACCACGAGGGGAAATGCTAACCCACAGGGCGAGGTGGGCCCGGACCGATTTCTCAGTGGAGTCGCCCTGAGAGGCTGCAGGAGGCAGGCGGAGCCCCGCTGTGAAGGGCTGGTGGGCGCCCCGCGGACTTACAGACAGCCCGCCACGTCCCCTCCCTGCAGGTGAGGGCAGTTTCCAGGGAAGCCAGCACAGCTGAAACTGATTTCTTTGACCCCGCCCCCCAGCCAGCCCACTCCAGGGGGGACCTCGCCCCTGGCCACCAGCTGAGGAGGCCGGGCTCGCCTTGCCCAACACAGGCTGAGTGGGCGTGACCTCGGAATGTCCTGCCTGGTAATGTCCTGCTTTCTCTGGGGCCTGGGCCACACGGGCTCACCTGTGCTAACAATGAAATTGAAGGGGCCTTGGCCCCTTGGGAGCAGCTCTTGACCTCTGCAGGGGCTGGAAACTGAGGCCACCCACGCAGGCACTCAGCTATGTCTCTATGAGGGACCCCCAATAGCAACCCCGGACTCCAAGCATCAGGTGACTGTCCCGGGCTGGCAGTACTCCCCGCCTGTGGGCACAGACCACCACTAGAGGACTGTGCTGTCCCCCTGACTTCCCTGGGAGCTCATGCTGGGTCTCTCCTGGCCCCCGCCCCAGGCCCCTCTTCCCTTCCCGGACTTGAATCTCTATCCCTTCCCTGGAATGAATTGGAACCTGAGGTGTATCAGCCTTGCCGGGTTCTGTGGGGCCTTCCAGCAAATCTCCGACCCTGAAAATGTCCTCACAATCCATGCAAATAAGAATCACTCTTTCCCATCCGGCAGGTGTGGCTCAGTGGTTGAGCGTTGACCCATGCACCAAGAGTTCGCCGGTTCGATTCCCCGTCAGGACACATGCCCAGGTTGTGGGCCCGATCCCCAGTGGGGGGCATGCAGGAGGCGGCCAATCGTGTTCTCTCTCATCGATGTTTCTCTCTCTCTCCCTCTCACTTCCTCCCTCTCTAAAATCAATAAAGGAAAAAATTGAAAAAAAAAAAATCACTCTTTCCCAGTCGCCTTTCTTTACGTCTGTCCCATTTCTGCTTCTGTTGACTGAAATCATCCACTGATGGACCTCTCTGGAGTCCCTGTAAACCTCCTGCTGATATGTGTAAACACCTTTGAATTGCTGCCGGTTTCCAAGTGGCAAATGGTGTGTTTAGGCAAGGGATGGGCTCCAGTCCACTCTCTGAGTACTCATCCCACCTGGGCGCACCCCACCCACTCCTGACAGCAACAGCCCACACTGATTCAGCTCATGCAGCTTTGAAATTACACAGCTCTTGATGGTTTTGCTCAAATCAGGGAGGCTCACCTCATTTCAGACCCACACGCATGACACTTGCACTTTCGTATCACGTTAACTGAATCCGCGTGTCCCAATTCCCACTGAACGGGGCCTCACTGTGATCTAGCAAAGCCCCCTTAGGAAGCATTTCAGACCAGTTTTCTGGCATAAAACATGCTGGGGGCAGAAGCCTGAGTCCACGGGACGCTGGGGTAGGTGCTCGGTCTACACTCGTTGGAACCCGGCACCCAAGTGTGGAGGGTGGTGGGAAGCGCCTCCAGGCTTGAGCGTCAGGAGCCAGACTTGGCTATGGACGGGCTGGCCGTGGTGCCCAGTTCTAGAACAGGTTGGCGTGGGGCTCATCTCGAACACACGGCTTGGAGATGGGAAACCGGGTCAGAAGGCACTGGAAGGGTTATGGGATCCCGACAATGTAGGAAAATAGCTACTCATAGTGGATGTATTGGGGGGGGGCTAGTCCCGGGTGTGGGGGGACACTCTAGGGTCCAGGAGCAGAGCCCCCTCACCTCTGCCTCAGGGCACATTCGCCTGAGCCAAGGCGGATTTGATGGCGGCCACCAGCTTCAGGAACTTGCTCTCTGTGTCCACGAAGCCATCGCCTCCCTGGGGACCGAAGGAGGGGGAGTGGTGAGCTGGGTCCAAGACACCAAGCCCAGGCCTAACACCCCTTCCAGCCCCAAAATGAGCCCGGATGGATAGACAGACAGACATACCTTCTTAGAGTGAACCAACTTCCCTGCTACCGTTACTTCAAAGAACCCAGTAACCTGGGGGGTCCCCTCGCCACACTGCGGAGACAGAAAGGTTAGAGGGGCTGAGATGCCCGCTTGGGGACACCCGCCCCTTCCCACCGCACTGACATCCAGGGCTGAGGGACAGACAAAGTGACCCATGTTTGAGTCCTACCCCAGGCCCAGGACTCACGATGTCCAGGCGTCCGGGGAACTCATCTTCTAGCTTCTGCTTGAGCTGAAGATACTGTAAGGGGGGGTCACAGTAGGGGTCAACAGGGGTCACCTAGCCCTCCTCCCCCATCTTCCCAGGACGCCTCCTGCCCCGACCCTATGCTTACCTTGGGCTTGTAGCCTCAAGCGCCACTGGTGGGACAGAGTCCAAGAGAGTGGGGGCCAGCGAGAGAGGGGGGCAGTGGGGGCCAGCGAGAGGCAGGCGGGGGAGATGGAGGAAACAGCCGGGGGCCAGGAGAAATGAAGGACACAGATGATAAAGCCAAGGAGGGGACAGACACCCTCAAGAGAGAGGGAAGACACACAGATGTTGGGGAGGGGAACAGAGAAGGGGAGGCGGGGACACAGGAAGGGGGCAGACACCCACACAAAGAAAACCGAAACAGAGCAAGGGACACAAGACACAGAAGGAGGGGTGGAGAAAAGGGGGGACAAGGAGACCACACGCATGACAAGGAAGTGAGGAAGGAGGAACCAGGAACCAGGACACAGGCAGGAGGAAGGAGGAAGGAATGGGGAGGAATTCGGGGAGAACTGAGTTAGGATGAGAACTGCAGAAACAACACCCCACCCCCTCCCAGTACACCCTCACCCGCCCCCACAGCCATGGAAGGCTCTGCGGGATCCCCCACCCCCACCCCAGGATGAAATCTGACGCCTCCCCAGCCCCCACTGCCGGCTCTTTCAGGACTGGAGTCTGGGGCACTGGCCTCCACGGGGCCTCAAAATGTGACCCCAGCCTGTGCTTTGCCCAGACGGCATTTCTAACAGACAGATCTGATCCTCCCAAAACCCCGGCTGCCCTGCTGGGCATTTCACCAACAGGCCAGCCAGCGGACCCAGACCCCACGGTCCCCTGTGGCTGCCGTCTGCACCGCCAGGTACTGACCTGCCCGCCCCACTCCCAGCCTGTTTCCTCCCCGGTAAAATGGAGCAAGAATTCCCCTCCCGCAAGAGGTTTCCCCGAGGGAAATTCACAGACCGTGTATCTACCCAGTGCCCCGGGCCTGCTTGCCCGTGGGTGTCAGCACAGTACAGGTGACAGGGCAGAGCCGTCACCGAGAGAAAGTGCCCTCCTTCCTGGGCTGGCCCGCTCTATCCGGGAGTCACACCAACGTGCTCCACACCGCACAGGGCCTCCGTCCCCCGCGACCAGAACAATCGCCCTCTGCCTCTCCAGATGGGGAAACCGAGGCCGGAGGCGCAGGGTCGGTAGCGGGGTCCATCCCCTGTATTCCTTCCTTGCCAAACCCACACCGAACCTGCCCCAGGACCGCTCAGGGTACTGGGGGAGGGGACCCCTAAGCCTTGAGGGTGGGCCTCTCCCATGACCAGTCTGACCCCATCCCCCAAACTGACTCCCAGAGTCCGGAGGTTGCAAATGGCCACACCCGCGTCTCAGGTCTCCCTTTGGTCACCTGAGATGTCCAGAAGGTCCCACACGGGAGGGGTCAAGGCCCGCTACTCTTCGCCCCCGTGATCGCCCACTGAGCGCGCGCACACGCACACACACACACACACACACACACACACGAGCACACACACAGGCGCGCGCACACATACACACATGCACACACGCGCGCGCACACACACACACACACGACGAGCGCGCGCGCACACACACACACACACACACGAGTCCGGGTTCCAGGGGAGGGTCCCCATGAGTCCTGCCTCTGACACCCCCAGCTCCTTTGGGACCCAGCTGGGTCCGGATGGTCCTCTATCCTCATCGTACCAATAAACGACTCGGACTGCGAGAGCCATGACCCGCGAGCGCTGCATCCGCCGGACCCGGGCGCAGGCGACCTCGTCCAAGGACTGCGGGGTGTGCACAGGCTCGGAGCCGCACCCAGGACTGTCCTCCGCTTTTCACGGCGCGAACCAATGCGGGGGGGGGGGGAGTCGGGGAGGAGTGCCCACAGCGGGGGGCCACGGGCCCCGCGGCCGGCCAACCTGACCCCCTCGCCAAGCCTCCCCCCTCTGCCCCCGGTGGGTCCGGGGGCGTGGGGACCAGGGAGTCCCGGGAGAAGCCCTGCGAGTCCCCTCCAGGATCCCCCTCCGGCCTGAATGGTACGGCCTGGCGGGGCGGAGTTCAGGGCCTAAGGCTCGGGTCTGGAAACGAAATTGCAGAGGAGGTGAAATTGCAAAGGTTAAAGTTGCAGAGGTGGGTTGCTCTTTCACAACCGGCTTCTTAAAAAATGTTTACTTACTGACTTTAGAGAGAGAGGAAGAGAGAGAGACAGAAACATTTATTTGTTGTTCCCCTTATTCATGCATTCATTGATTGATTCTTGTATGCCTTACCCTGGATTGAACCCAGGACCTTGGAGTGTAAGGGGGACACTTTAACCAACTGAGGTACCCGGCCAGGGCAAGGGGTTAGCTCTTGGCCCCTAGGCGGGGTGTCAGGGCGACCGGACCGGGTCCAAAAGGACTCAGGGCACCAAAGGGGCCCAACACGGAAAACGGAGGTTTCCAGGGAGCGCACCAGGGCCCCACACTGCCGTATTAAGTTCCTGCAACTGGGTCAGGGCGACGCTGGACGCCTTTTCAGTCCCTGTTTCTGTGCCTTCCAGCTCTCTCTCGAGGTGAGGGGTTCAGGGAAAGTGCTAGCAGCTGAGTTAAGGGGTGAGTGTGGATGCTTCTCTCTCTGAACCTCAGTTTCCCCATCTGGAAGATGGACGTGATGGCCGTCAGGGACTATACAGCAGACCTACCTGCAGCCCTAGTTCTGGAGATTCAGAGATGACAAAAATAAACAAAGTCCCTGCCCTGGGCGCGGTTTGGCCAGTGGGGAGACACCCTGAAAATAGTGCTTCTCTCCCGGGGTTGTTGGAGCCTCAAATGAGTTCACACGCATGGAAGGAGCTAGAGCAGGTCTGTCAATGGGGACGGCTCAGTAAAGACTGACTTACTGGGAGGTCTTCTTACCCCAATTTCTGTCTTCGCCTCCCTGGTCCTCACCTGCTATCGCCCTGACCTCTCAGGGCAGGTGGCAGACAAGATTCAATTCCATTCCACCTCTGTTGCTGTGTGACCTCGGATCCTCGCCGTCTTAGAGATGACGAGCCTGAGGCGTAGAGCACTTAACACAGGGCTGGGCACAGTCTCTTTCAGTGGCTTCTGGGGCCCTCGGAGCAAAGCCCCTGCTTGGTCACGTCAGTCCCTTCTTGCCCCTTCTCTCAAAGCCCTAGCCACACGGAAACACTGCAGTCTTATTGGGGACCTCACACATTTTCCTGCCTCTGGGCCTTTGCACATGCTGTTTCTACCCTCTCCTGCCTGATTCTTGTTCATCTTCCAGTAATCATTTCCAACACATTGCAGGGAAAATTTTGTGTGCAGTGGAAAATGATGCTGGGTCTATAGTATCTCTCTGTATTTGTTTGCTAGGCCGTCATCACAAAGTACTATAACCTGAGTGGCCTAAACCACAGAAATGTATATCACAGTTCTAGCAGCCTGAACTCCAGGATCAAGGTGTGAGCAAGGCTCCTTCGGAAGCCTCTGAGAAAGGATCTTTTCCCTGCTTCTCTCCCAGCTCCTGGCGTTTTGCTGGGAACCGTGGCGTTCCTTGGTGTGCAGAAGCATCGCCCTGATCTCTGCCTTGATCACACAGTGTTCTCCCCGAGCGCATGTCACTGTGTCTAAATTTCCACATTTCATAAAGACACTAGTCTTATGACATCTACAATGACCCTGTTTCCAAATAAGGTCCATTCTGAGGTCCAGGGGGTGAGGACTTCAACATGTGAATTGTGGGTGGGACTCAGTGCAACCCATAACATCACTCAGACTTACCTGGTTCTAGGGAATATTTTAGAACTTCGTAAATTGTAGATAAGTGATAACAGTGCAAAATAATTCTCCACAGACATGCAAATGAATTCTGTCTGGCGGGCGGACAACCCTTTCCTCTCTCAGTCCGTTTGAGCTGCCGTAACAAAATACTAGAGACCGGGTGACTTGTGAACAACAGAATTGATGCCCACAGTTCTGGAGGCTGGAAGTCCGAGGTCGAGGTGTCAAGCATGGTCAAGGGAGGGCTCTCTTTGTGGTTCATGCCGGCCCCTTCTGGAGATGTCCTCTCGTGGTGGAAGGGGCCAGTGAGGGGTCAGTCGGGGGCCTCTTTTCTAAGGGCACTAATTCCACCCACAAGGGCTCCACTCTCACGACCAAGGCTCCACTGCCTAATGCCATCACCTTAGGTGACACACATATTCAGACTACAGGACCGCCCCCAAATGTTTTGTCACTATTTGTTTCAATATTCTTTTTTTTCAGATTTTTTTTTTTTTTATCCTCACCCGAGGACATTTTTCCATTTTTTGTTCAGGTAGAATGGGAGGGAGAGAGAGGAACAGAGAGAGAGAGAAACATCGATGTGAAAGGGACACATCGAGTGGCTGCCACCCACACAACTGACCAGGGCCGGGGACAAACTGCAACCGAGGTACATGCCCTTAGCGGGAACCGAACCCGGGTCTCTCAGGACCGCAGGCCGACACTCCAACCGCTGAACCAAACCGGCCAGGGCTTTTTTAGATTTTTAAATTGATTTTTAAAGAGAGAGAAACATGAATGTGGGAGGGAAACATTGATAGACTGCCTCCTGCACGCCCCCTACTGGAGATCAAGCCTGAAACCCCGGCATGTGCCCTGACCAGGAACTGAACTGGCAACATTTCGGTGCCCAGGATGACACTCAGCCAACTGAGCCACACTGGCCGGGCTGTTTCCATATTCTTGATCAATAAATATGTCTGCTCTTTTATCTCCTTTGAACTTGTCATAACACCTTACCTTTAACACGTTTGCTTTTAGATCTGTATGAATCATAATTTTCCCTCCCCCCCAAAAAAAATTGTTTTGTAACAATACCATTACAAGCTGAGTCAGTGTTCCCTCAGGCTGGGTTAGTGTCCCCTCGGGTTCTCACTTCATTGCCCCCACCACCTGGTTGTCACAGGGCTGCTGTGCTCAACAATGTTCCCAGCATGTTCAGCAGGGACCAGGCGCAGGGAGCTCAAAGGACATTTTGTTGACAAGCCAAGAACTTGCCAGGTGCCTCAAGAGAAGAGAGACACTCTCTCCTGCTGCTAACAAAGGGGTCTCTGTTATCCAGAAATGGGGTAGGTCGGAGGAATTAGTAATGATTACTGGGCTGGGTTTCTCTACCCTCCCCCCCACCTCTCTCTCTCACACTCACACACACACACCCAGCCAGGGGCAGGACATCTCACCCAGAGATCCGAGCTCACTGCGACACAGTTGCAGACAAAGCACACACTGCAGAAATCAGTCACAGGCTCTGATACACAACAGCACAGCTGCACGCACACGCACATCACTAATGCCCATCAGCATGCAACACCCCAGCAACACGCAACCCCACCTGCCCCCAGGAGACACAGCTGCACAATAGTACAGTCACAACATCAGGCCAGGGCTGAGACTTACAGTGAGACTATACAACCACATTGCTATGCTTGGAGGCCCATATTGGCACACAACAGCGCGGTCACACACACGCACACAGAGCCTTGACTTTTTTTTTTTTCTTTATTGATTTTAGAGAGAGGAAAGGAGAGAGAGAAACATCGATGAGAGAGAACATCGATTGGCCGCCTCCTGCACACCCCCCACTGGGGATCAGGCCCACAACCTGGGCATGTGCCCTGACCGTGAATCGAACTGGCGACCTCTTAGTGCCTGGGTCGACGTTCAACCCCTGAGCCGCACCAGGCCACAGCCTTGTCTTTCTACGTATTTACTTATTCTGATGTTCTATGCTGTCAACTGTCTCCCCTCCAGAATATCCCCTCTGTGTTTCTCTTTTGTCCCCCTCCTTGGTGTGTGCCAGCCTCTGGTGGGGGGCATGCAATAGACACTCCGTAAATATTTGTCCTATAAATGCATCTTCAAGAAAATATTGAGGACTTCCGGTCAAGATGGCAGGTAGGTAAACGCGGTATCTGTCCTCCCACAACCACATCAAAGTTACAACTAAACTACAGAACAACCATCATTCAAAACCACCTGAAATCAAGCTGAATGGCAGTCCTACAACTACGGAATTAAAGCAGCAGCCACATCCAGGCTGGTAGGAAGGGAGGAGGCGCGACAGGCTGGTCCCACACCCACGTGTGGCGGATACAAATCAGGAGGACACCTCGGCTGGGAAGGTCCTCCCTGAGGACTGAGGGGTCCCCGTCCCACACCAGATGCCCCGCTCAGGGTTCCAGTGCCAAGAGAGGAGTCCCATCACTCCTGGCTGGGAAAACCAGTGGGAACTGAGGCTCAGGGAGGCTGAGGCAGCTGGAGCCCCAGGCAGCTCCTTAAAGGGCCCGCGCACGGACTTACTCGGACTCACACCCTCCAGGCTCCAGTGTGAGGAAGGCAGCTTGAAAGGCACCAGAGACATTCGGGGAAGAACTGAGCTGTTTGGCATTGGGGTTACGGCTGGAGAGGCAGCTTTCTCCTGAACAGATGTGCTGTCAGAGGCCTTTGTTCCTTTGGTGAGTCCTTCCCTGGGGTTGCAGATAGTCCCCATATCTGGGGCTCCAGCAACCGGCCTGGTGATTCCCTGAGGCCCCGCCCCACCCATCCACCCAAGCTGTTGCCAGTTATTTTACCATAAGATTGTCCTGTCTTGGATCCTGCTTCAGGTTTTCCTAAATCCTTTCAAACAAGCAGCATCTGGTCTCAGCTAGCCCCATACCTCACTCAAAGTGGCCCCAGGCCTGGCACTAGAAGCAACCAGCCTTGGTTCACAACTTGGCTTTTCCCGGGCACCTCCAAGCCCAGCACAGGAAGCAGCCATCTGCAGATCACTTTGTAGCTTATGCCT